AGATGCTAACAAAAAAGGATGAGTGTTACCATGGTAACGATGGGACCATTGGTCTTAGGTTCTTAGGATTCTAATTTACATAATCTCTAATTTAAGGAGACAGGAAATGCAATAAATGTAATTTAATTGCCACTGTTAACCAATGCAAGGAGTAAATTATTGTAAGATAATTTCCATGAACCATTAGCTAATCTGGGATCAGAAGTCAGCTATTTCTTCTCCTTACCGTGTTTACTTACTGGACAACTACAGAAAGTTACAATTGAATAGTTCACTGGCAAGTTCTGCTTTAGGAAACTTTTAGGCTACAGAAAATAGACCAACAACATATGAAACCCTTCAAGAATTTAATTCAAAGCTGGGGGTGTGCTGGAGACAGACTCTTAGCTGCACACGTGGCAAGCACACACGTATTGCTGACCTACATCTTTAGGCCTTAATTTCTACTTTTAAAAAGATTGAAACAAGAAAAACATTGTGTTTAATGGTTATGCTGACCGAATCAAGCACAAAATATTGGGTTCACTATGTGGTTTAATTGTGCAGACTTGAGTCAATGGCTTGACCTTTGCAAGCCTGGAAGCTTCAATTTATCTGCTCTCTAAAAATACTTACAATAAAAAATGCCATTAGAAGTATTTTGTGAAGACGAATGTCAGCTAAGAACTATGAGGCTCCTGGGTAAGAGATGAAACAGCATTCCAAATACCATGGCTACAAGCTAATGAAAATTTAATGTCACTTAAAAACCACACAGCTATCTGGGGGTAGATTCATAGATGACACATTGGTATCATTTTTTTACATTATGTTTTAAACATAAAAATATGATCTAGAAAAGCTTTTGAAAACTATAGTGGCCAAGGTCATCTATATTCTTTTTGTTTTTGCAAAAATCTTTATGACTCAGTACTCCAAAAATCCTAGCTTTCTTAGCAAAAATAATTTGTTTTTAATCATGAAAACAGTTGACATTCTTTTCTAGTGATAAATAGAAAAGGATCTCGGCTGAGATACTCATATGCTGGGCCTTTTCATGTTCAAGTTCACTTACTTGTTACCAGATTTCTTTTTCCATGGCATTAGCACTAATTGCTACTCAAATAAATTATTCTGGTAATGGGTTTACTTTACTTGAGCCAAGTAAGGTAAACATGTGAAAGAAAAGAAAAAAAAAGGATTTAAGATAACACCTATTGTGAGTCTAGATTTTGAAAAAAACTAATGTTCAAATATTCTGACAAAACTAGAAAATTCCATCAATTCTGCCAATGCTTCTTCAGTTTAACAACAATACTTTAAGTAGCCTACAGTTCTCCAGAGAGCACTTCTCCAGGAGCAGGGTTTGGCTGAGTCCATGGATTGCATTTGCCTGTGTGCAGGTCAAGCATATCACACAAGTGTTCATTATAGTTTTAACCAAGAGAACCTATACATGAGAATTCTAAAAACTTATTTTTATGTTTAATGTAACCAGCAGGAAGCATTCACATTTTTAGTATGGTTTTGTATGGCATCTGAGCTGTTTTGGCTCCTGGAAACCAATGCAAAGTATGGGAAACTACTTTCAGAGTTGGTAACTAATGATGTTAGAAGCTTGTTGAATGGGCAATGTGACATGGATGACATTTTGGAACCTGTGTCTTTAGGGGACTTGGAGATAAATTCACATTATCCTTTCATTTGTAGATAAAGCTTCATCTTAAGCCCAGAGGAAAGGATTCTTCAAAGAACATAGGCTGTCACCTCCAGAGTTGGAGACATTAACTAGTGGTGACTACACTTTTGAAGTAGTATGTAATGTGCTCCTTTTCTTGTACCCACAGTCCTAAGGCTTTGACTACTCATTCTATACTGGGTAGAGGGGGTTGGGAAGGCCACAGAGGGAAGTTGTAGCTTCCTCTGTAACCCTGTATATTAATTTTCATCCTATGTAGGCTTTAAGAGGTTCTTCTCTGTGGTGGAGTTGAAGGGCTGAGGCTCCCAAAACACATTAGTATAATTATAGGTATTGATCATCTATTAATAACATTGACTTTATCTCCTTGTCTAGTTAGCACTATAACACCTTTTATTTTTACCAGAGCCATAGAATGTTGCATAGTGTGCCCAGACAAAGACATGGAGCATGGTTAGGAGGTACCGTTCTTCTCGTTGCACTACCCTACCCGCCACTTTTCACAGAAGGCTACTTAACAGGCTGATGCCAGAAGGATCCAGGTTAGACTTTCATACCCCGTCACTGCTGTGTAAGGCTTTTTCCTCAGTTCAATATAAACAATTGGACTCCCACGACATAAACACATGTTAGTCTTCATCAGTAACCACATTACCTGTGGGTGTTACAAATCTTACTTTATGCACCACACCACTTGCACTGAACCTGACACTGAAGACTGGTAATAAGTGCATTGCTCCTTCCATACCACACTGCAGCCTTCAATGGGCACTGACCTGTATCATCTGAATCATTAGCATTACTGAAAATAAGTAACAGATACATAGCAGAATAAGTAAACAAACATTCAGGCTGCCAATCAAAGTGCTCAATATTTAAAATAAAATAAATGTAAAACTAAGTCATCTTCAAGTTTACTGTCTAAAACCAATTACCAATTTTGTCGACCTGAATGACTTGAAAATGGTGTGGTAGAAAATAAAATGTTTTCTTGAAACGTCCTTTTTTTTTTAATCCAACACAACAGAAAACCATTTTTTTTCTGTCTAGTTATTTTCTAAATTTCTAATGGCTTAGAACTGACACCCCCCCCTTAACTGTAGCCCGAGATGACTTTCTAGGTGTCAAGAACTGCTACTTTGGAAAAAGTGAGATTGTAATGTGGAAGAAAACATTTTCGTAAGATAGTTATAGGAAGTTCTTTTAAGAAATTGTGATGTAATTTTAAACATTCTTCTAAGAAAAAGACATTCTAGAAATTTAAGACACTCTCAGACACTCCAACTATAGAATTATTGCCAACTTTGCTCTTACTGTCACAGAAAGTGGTTGTCTTGGTGAAGAAGAATCCTTCTATACCTATCTTCCTAAAGATGATCTAGCTGCCATGACAACTTTAAGTACTAGTGAGGATTAAGGGATGGTTTCCCCACAGTGCTTTAGTTCCAGGTCCATGAAGGAGGAAAAGCGAACTCTCACTGTTTGTGCTTGTATCTTTACAAAAGTGGGATGTTGACTTCCCACTGTTTTAGAGAAAACACATTTAAAATACTGCAAAGATATATTGCAATACTTAAAGCTGTGACTATTCACTGCTGTTTCCATGATACATAGTTTGAACGCAGTGACTAGGACAAAAATGCCACATTCCTTTCTGTTTCTAAGGAAATTGCAAGTTTCCTTGTAAAAATAAAAAAGTATGAAGTCTTAAAAAAACAGTTTTCAAGTTGTTTTCTCCCAGGTTAAAGGTTTCTATAAATTTTCATGATGGCTTTCAAAGTCAGACAAAGGAATAAAAAACAAAAACAAAAAAAGACAAAGAGCAAAACAAAAAAAAAAAGCGTGCATGAAAGTTTGGTCTTCACCATGCGACCTTCAAATCACCCTTTTAGCAAGCACTTTTCAGATTTTTGATCATGTTTTCCCTCCACGATCTGCAGTTTTGTAAAACAGAAAGTCAGTCTTCTATCTTTACCAGGACTGGGATGAGGAGAGACGAATGTACATTTTTATTGAAGTGTAAGTGGGACCCTGTCATGGGCTATGGATGAGAACTCAGCATTTGGCTTATGTAATAAGGGTATTATTAGCCTTGACTGGGAATATTAATTTTCCTTGGAATTTGAGTAATTCTGAACTGCCTCTTTGAAATACAGATCAATAAAACCATTAGCATTCCACTAAAATGAAATATAGGAAAAGTTTAATAGTAATGACAGACACTGTTATATAAAGGCTTGTTGATACATTTCATCCCTACATGGGCCTTTGAGGCAGGGGTTGTGAGCATCTCCCTCGCATGGAGGTAGAAAGGGAGGTCAGAGAAGTCAAGACTTTGGCAGAATCTACACAGCATCTAAGTGTTGGTTTCATATTCTTAGCTACTTTGTGGGGTTAAGAGGTCTTAAGAGAGAAAGGAAGATGGCCAAGATGAAAGAGCCATGCTCAAGTCTGTTCTTTCAGTGAGAGCTGGGGTCCTTGTATGGTTTCAGAACTTGGTCCAGAGTATGGGACTTTAAAATATTCTGGAAGATGAGCAGATGAGTCCCGAGATTTCTAAGGGCTAGGCCTAGATTTCAGAGGGAGACAGGAAAGTCCCAAGCTCAGCTTCCTGGCCCCTGGTGAAATGGGCCAGATCTGGGTTTTGTGAGCTCCCACAGTGGCTTTGTTTATCTCTGTAGAGGTTCCAGATTGCAGAGCTGGTAATCATGTTAAGTGCACAGACACCAGGCTTCCTGTGGGATAACGCTAGATGTTTTCTCCAAATGATAAATGTTATGGAAATAAATAAATACATACAAGGATGTGTGTGTGTGTGTGTGTGTGTGTGTGTGTGAGAGAGAGAGAGAGAGAGAGAGAGAGAAAGAGAGAAAGAGAGATACGATCCCCTTCATTATTAACAGCACACCAGAAGTTAATAGTACCAGCATATGGAAAGTTCATTTCATTCTCAAGTTTGCTAACAGTGAAAAGAGCTTGCTCTGGTTCAGAAAGTTTTAATGGGTTTTCATTATATAAATAACTTTTGTTAACCAAAGAAATAGCATATATTCATTTACCCATGACCAGAATGAACTAGTATTTGAATCTTAAGAACAGAATCTCCCCCTCTCCCTTACATCATCTACAATAACTTAACAAAACAGAACACATCCAAAATACTCACAGTGGAAACGTTTTAGCTTGGGAATCATTGTTTCTTTAAAGTCAACTCATTTGCACATTTGTTCCATGGCTTTCTTGTATTTGCAAACATATAAACTTATTAATGACACTAACAGTCTCCAAATTATCCCATAAATGCTACAATCAGCAAACTCACCTTTTGCCCATTCATTCCTGGGGTCCCAGGTGCTCCAATGGAACCCTAAGGAAGAACATGATTAAATTAAGTTGATATCTTGATCAATATTTCAGATCTAAGTCTATGCAGCATTTGTTATGTCAGCCACAATATTACATGGCTAAATAATCTAGAACCCATACAAAAGGTTTTCAGGCTGTGTTTTCTAGATTTTATCCACTGTGTTCTAATATCTAATAATCTAGACAGATCTTCATACTTTCCCAGAAAGTAGAGATAAAGTTTAATATTCTTTATGAATACTCACCTAATTATAACATGACTTAAAGAATCTCATATAAACTGAAAGCCATAACATTCAGGAGACCACATGGCTCTAAATTTTGTTTTAAAGACATAGACAATTTAATTCCACCAGGAAAAAGCTGAGCAGTAGCAGCGACTCTTGAACTTGCCAAGTTTATAGAACACAAAACAGAGGGTAATTAAAAAAGCAACTGCTTACTCTACTACATGAGGGACCTGTGCTGGAAACCCAAATTTGTTATATTTGGACTCCTTTCCCCCTGGACTTTCAGGAAGTGTGTTTAAATCACCTAAGTGCTATCAAGCGGACTCGAGAAAGCATCACACAGGTTGTGTGATGACCCAAAACACAGCTTCTGTATTTTGAAGCTGAAGGTCCCTGCACACGTAAACATGAGCACACATACCCACTGGCTGAGAATGAACAGCGTTTAGACAGCTAGGCTGAGGGTATTAAAGCCAGTCCCCACTTGAGACAATCCATGGCATTTAAGTGAATACAGGGAGTATTAGGAAGTATTTTCAATAGGAAATGTCTTTTCTTCCTTGCTCCTCCTCCCCCCAGGCTCTGGGAAAGGTGTTTTCTGTGGGGATTTGTTGTTGTTTGGGCTTTTTTTTGTGTGCTTATTCTTAGTGTAGAATAAGAAAGCAAGTGATTTTTCTTAGGTTGTATATTACATATCTTTTATAATAATGGAAGAATTTTTATTAAGTAGTCATCATAATCATGAAACGGCTCTAAAAATAGCCCACGGGAGAAAAAAGTGTATGCCAAACAATTGAGCTGGCCATTCACGGTCCTGTGGGTTAGGAATTAAAGATCTTGAAGCCTGGAGCCGGCATTTTGTCCTGGTTGCATGTGGATCAGGCTAGCTTTGCAATTTCACACTGAGCTTAATAGAGACATTATTGTGAGGGACAAACTGTTCTGGCACGCAAGATGTCTCTCAGTGCAGGCCCTTGACTTGGTTTGAAGGATTATGTTTCAACAGATGCCATATGCCTGGCACTTGGGGATAAAAAGTCTCTGTCTTTGATGGAGTCCAAAGATAAAGAGCAATCACTTTCCCACCTGTTACAACACAATTGTTTTCAGCAAGTTGGATATCCTCTCCTTCCCCATTCAGGGTGGGAGGTTAGTGAACGGGACTTACTGGTGTTCATTGGCTATTGCTGTATTTCCTGCCGGACCACGGGTGAGACCTAAGAAGCCTACATTCTCCCCTTTAGAATGCAGTTTGGTGATTGTGGCTAAGACTGAAATTATAATCAGGAAGTCACTTTTCAGTTTACCTCAGCCAAGGGGGACACTGAGAGAGACAAGGGGGACATGGAGTGAGCCGAGCAGTCTAATGAGTCAAGCAACAAGCGTATCCTCTATTAGGGTCAGTTCTGTGGCCATTTGGCAGTTATAGAGTTGACCAGGGCCAGCAATCAATTTGCAATGTCACATGATCCTTCATGTTGTAAATGCTGTCAGAATGTGTTACCAATATTTGAATTAAATATTCCATAACCTACAGGTTCAGCAGACAACTCAGAAAGTTTTCTCTGGACTTACTGAATACTCTACAATGAAGTAGAGTGGAAATCTAAGGCACGTTCTGATGTGTACTAACACAATGCTTAGATATCTAAGTCAATTCTAATGTATAATAATGAAATGTTTTAGAAAGCAGAATGCACAGAGTACACTAATTCCTTCAGCATTGTTTATGGTCACTTCTCCTGCTCTCATTAGACAAGGAAGGTTAAGTACTTTTTTAACACCACTATATATACCCTACCTTTTGTCCTGGAGGCCCCAGAGGTCCCTAAAAGAGGAAAAAACAATTCAATTAACATTATACCATTGCTCTTTAGCTTAGATGACCAACCAAGCAACCAACTAACCAGCCATCAAAACCAAGTTGTCCTATTCTGTAAGGTTCTCTTTGCTGTGCTTAAAAAAAAAAGCTAAAATGGAAATTCTCAGTTGGAATACAAAGTGGGTTAACATAAACAATTTTTTAAAGTTATTAGCCACATACAAGAGATATCTGATTTCTCATTTACAAAGAAAATGCTTGGGGTCCCAGTGCATTTGTTTCTTGATATTCCTGCCAAGTCACAAAATCAGTCTCATTTGGAGGAATGGGGATGGAGGGCCGGAGATACTGTTGCTAAAGTGTTAAAATGCAACACCATTCTCTAGAAAACAAATGCATTCCATGGTGCCTCCACCAGTAACCCCTTGGTAAGCAGGCTTGCAAGCAAGACACCACAGAGAGGCATGTTGCGTTTTATTCTTAGGAATTGTAATCAAGTGACCTGCACAAAATCTTGTTTACAAACTGGGGAGGTCAAGGCTAAAGGTAGCACCTGGTGTGCACCCAAGAAGATTGCCAAGGATGTTGCCAGCTGTTGTCAGACTGCTATCCAAGAGGCAGGAGGAATACAGTATTTAGTGAGATGAAGAGGAATATTTACTTAGAAAATGCAAATGTGACAGTTATGAAATTAAGCAGTTCTCAACCACAAAGTCAGTGTTACGATCTGTTGGCTTAATTTAGATTAAGGCTTGGCTTTCCAACAATGGAAAAGAACACAGGGAACTACAACCTCATTTCTGACTCCTTATGCCTACTTTTAAAAAAAGGTATTAGGCATTCTCTCTAGTTCCTAAGGAAATGCATTTGATTTGGGTGTTTTTTAGTGAGTTTATAGAGGCCGCTATTTACACAAAAGCTCTTCAGTGCATCATGTTACCCCCTAATGGTTTATTTTCAATGTGGGGATGTTACCATTAATCAGCAGCTGACATTCATACTCTGTAACATGGCCTAAAGCATGAGCATGATCATCAGGGGGAGAATGGGTCATGGATTTTAAAACATTAAATAGACACAGTGTTTAAAAGCATCCGGAGACCTGTTTCCCCTGCTATTCTGAACAGCCCTCACAGGAAGACTCATTTCCTCTACAATCAGCCTTGGGTTATTGAATGTGTGTTGTGTCATATCAACTCTTATTCCGCCCAGACTCACTCTGTTTAACAACCAGAACCACCAACCGTGTTTTAGCAGCCTCATTATCTGCGTATGTGTGGGCACTCTCCCCACTCATCTCGTTTCCTCTGTTTGAAATTTTCCATTTTAGATTTCACAGAGAAAATAGACCGTCAGGTGTAAGTCCCATCCAGATCTCATCTCTCATCAACCCGAGCACACACCGACCTGAGGGGAAGACGAGCCCCTCCTCCTCGCAAGTCATCAGGTAGACTCTGGAATCCATCCTTGCCTCTGCCCAGGGGGACCTTTTCCAATCAATTACCCCTGCATCAGTATCAGCCTGCTCTTCTCCACTGGTCCTTTCTTTTTAGCACATAAACATCTTTAATCATTTCCTCACTTGTGTAAATTGTTTGGGAAATGAATGCCAGCGCTAAGCAAGGGCCGAAGTTGCAAGCTGTGATAGGGGATCTGAGACGGGAAACAAGCCTTGGGTTTATCATTGCCCAGGATTCCATCTTCTCAAGTGTCTCCGGAGTGTTTCCCTTCCTGACAGGCTGAGGTCGGAAAGGAAACTCTGTGAGGAGGACTGCGTTTATTCAGTGTTTAGACGGAGGATGTGTATGTTCAACACACAAAGGTTGTATTTCCCATTCCAACTCTGCCACTTGAAAAAAATCTCGTTCATTAAATTGGGTATTCCATTTCAGGGGAATATTTCAAGCAAAAACAAGAGAATTGTACATCAAGTATTGTAAATGGAGACTAACATACATGGAATTTTCTGATTTGGTCTTTGTTGCATGGTCATATTAAGTCAGAATTTTGGGAAGATTAATCACATAAAATTAGACTAGCATATTTTAATGCAATAATTAAGAAAAATCAAATAACCAAAGAAATTGAACATATTTTCCCTTCAGGTTTAGGAAACTAGTGTTAATTTTTGTAAACTCCTAAAAGAAGTTGTTTTTTCAAAAACAAGGTTTACCATTAATTTTGAATTATGAATACATTTCTTATAGATTATTTGCAAGTCTGCTGCCAAGATGTATTCTCAGTTACAAAAAATGTACATATAATTCTTAAATCTCACTGCAGGAAAAATGATAGAGAGCCAAGGAGAGCATCATCCAGTACCAGAAGGGGATCATGAGGGAAGCTGAGCTAAATACAAGGAGAGCATCATCCAGTACCAGAAGGGGATCATGAGGGAAGCTGAGCTAAATACAAGGTGCAGACATACTTCTGAGTAAATAAACAAACACTTGGGCATTCTCTCTCTCTCTCTCTCTCTCTCTCTCTCTCTCTCTCTCACACACACACACACACAATTTATTGTACTAAACAAGATTTTCCTTATGTATGTTTTAAATATGTTTAAATTGATGACACTGTTACACATCTGTGACAATGTAGTAATTAAATATAAAATTATAACTTAAGGTTTCCTGTTCAAAAATCAACTCATGGGTGTCTTTTCTCTTCTCCCTCATGGGTTCTGGGACTTGAACTAAGGTGGTTAGGTCTGTGTACCAGGTGCTTTTATATGCTAAGCCAGTTTGCTGGCATAATTTGTCTGTTCTTAAACTTATTCTTTCAGTCTGAATAATGGCTTGAATGAAGGATACCATAAATGCATTATTCACTAGTGAACCTAATGTTTCTTTTTATTACTAATATTAGGATTCCAGTAGTTCAAGAATTCTAAAGTACTTTTATTTAGTGTTATATCAATATTTCAGTAAGTTTGGATAAATAGTCCTCAAAATAGAGTTATATTTCACTTGGTCCATTTTTCTCAGTACAGTATTTCTTTTTAGACATTTTTCTTGGCAGGTACATTTATACTTTGAATATTTTTGTATACAGTCAAAATAGAAATTTGATTTTTCAAAATAATTCCTATATGCTTTAAAATTAGAAACTATGCTATATGTAGATTGCTGACATATTAAGATATGTTTCTTTAAGTTTGACTTAAGTGTCATGTATAATTTGAACTTTGAAATATGCTCATGTCAATACAGATTCTGAGTGATATAAAATATATGGTTTTCATTGAAGAATTGTGTGTAGCTTCATTTAAAGAATTAAAAGTTATTGAAAAAATGTGTGTGGAGAAGTACTATTATCATTAATGTATGCATATATAATTCTCATCATTTTCTTGATCTGCTAGAAAATATCACAGAGACTTATGCAAAACAAAGTTTAGATAGTAGATAATAAGTTGTACAATATGCTTAACTTGTCTTATCCACCTCTGCTAAATTCCATTCTAATGATTATATACAATATTCAGTATATGGTGAGCAAATCAGTCAAATATGATAGTTCCAAGGGAGTGTTTGTCTTTAACCAAAAGCATGTTAGCTCAGGCCCGAGACCCCCCTGACTTCCCTTGTCAGTGGGGCTTTCTGATCTCTCCCTCTGTGCTCCACAGCTATGCCCATTCCAAAGTCCTTTGCTCCTTCCCTACTTACTGTGACATCTATCTAATGGCCTTTTGTCTCCCCGTGTCTTTCTGCACACTGCTGCCTGAGAACACTTCCTGAAATGCTGTTTAAACATCTGTTGACAACCTCTGTAGCTATTGAGAAGAGGTTGGGCTTGGAGAGGAGTTGTAGTTTACCACATAAGCATCTCAACAACTCTGGATGTCTGCTATAACTGGGGCTTTTATCCGAATCCAAGTTCAGTGTCCCTGCCTTTGGGGGTAGGTCTGCTTCATCATTCTGCAAAGCACCATCATAATAGGACTTTTTCATAGAATTATCAGCATTACTGTATTGTTTTGTGGTATTGTAAAAGGTATCCTTTTTCCATTCTATTTTTTTTATCATGAAGTACAGCTGTCCCATGGCAAATCGTTCAGCAAATTGTGTTTTCATTCATCCATTTATCCACTTACTTAATAATTAACTGCACACTGAGGGCCAGGCAATGCTGTAGAGTTGGGGAGACAGCAGTTAACAAAAATGGCCATGACTACATGTCCGTCCAGCTTCACATTCTAGTGAATGTAGAAAGGCCGCCAACAATCTGTGAAGTTCTGCCAGGAAATGAGTGGGAATGCAAAGACGGGGCTAGGGAGGGGGAAGTAGAGAAGTGGATGTGCTAAACTAGTTGCTCTGGCAAGACTCGGTGATAAACAGAGCTTTGCCAGGTGACCCTATGCCTGCCTGGTGAGTGAGAAGAGTGTTAGTGGCAAGGAGACAGGTGCAAAGTTCCAAACTGAGGACCATGTAAATTTTCAAAGAACACTAGAGGATGGTGGCTGGGTAGTAGAAGGACACAGGGAAATGAATAGAGTAGATTGAAATTGCATGACCTAGTCAGAACTTAGAAGAACAATGTGCTTATTCTGACTATATAAAAATAATAGGAATGACTATAATCATAGAATATGCATAGTCAATCCCCTTTTCTTCTTAAACCTTAAACAGTAATGTCTCAGGAGAGGAATGACATAATCTTTTACTCTATTGCTTGAGTCATGTCAATGCTACTGGCTTATTACAGTAGCTCCCAAACTACTGGAATTATTAAATTCCTCCCAGGTGATTTCAGTTCATAGTTTCTACAGAGCAATAAAGCAAAAATCATCTTGGTTACACTGTACCATGTATGGTATAAGTCATCAACCTAAGGTCTCTAATGCAGTGCGGGAAGTCACATGGACAGCGGATAGAATTATCAATCCAAGATAATCCTCAAAACAGGCAGTCAAGAAACAAATGACTCTACAAGCATCATGCACTGCAACAGTCCCCAGTTTTTATACATTTAAAAAAGCCTTTTCTTTGATAGATCACTGTTTG